ACCTTGACGCCACATCTCTTGGAAGAGCGCAGTCAGGTGATCCATCAGTTGGGGACCTCCGTGCTTGTAGACCTCAGCAGGGATTGCGTCCGATCCGGGTGCTTTCCCGCTGGAGAGCTGCTGCACGGTCCTGATGGTCTCCGGGAGAGATGGCGGGAGGTCGAGGTCCACGTTGGTCTACACTTGCGGCAAACGCTCGATGGCGGCGTCGAAGATGACGGAGGGGCGGTTGAGGACGCCTCGGAAATGCTCGGCCCATCGCTGCAGAATTTGCGTCTTCTCAGTCAGGAGAGTGTTGCCGTCGGCGCTGAGGAGAGGAGCAGTGCCCTTCGTCGGCGGACCGTAGACAGCTTTGATCGCAGAGAAGAAGTTCTTCCATTCGTTGCGGTCCGCGTACCCTTGGATCTCCTCAGCTTTGCGAGCGGTCCAGGCGTCCTGCATCTCGCGCAGTCGTTGCTGAAGTTGGCGGCGGCTGCGGTAGAAGGCAGCTTTGGTGGCATCAGTGGGGTGATCTACGTAGACTTTGTGTAGGCGGTTCTTCTCAGCTAGCAGATTTCTGATGGCGGCGTCGTTGTCGTCGAACCAGTCCTGGTGTTGACGGGGAGCGCGACCGAGGACGGCGAGCGCCGTCGACTGGACCGTGTCTCGCAGTTGACACCAGCGGTTCTCCACGGAGGCGTTCTCGGCAGCGACGGCGTCGGCGGCGGCGGCGGCAGCGATAGGAAGGTTGTCTAGCCGTTGAGCTAGCTCATTGCTGAAATGAAGATGGTGAGCTGGCAAAGACAACAAGGCAGTATTCAGCTTACCTGGGGGTCGCTTACCTTGTGGTCTCCTGCGAGGCTGTAGGCGAATACGCATCTTCGATATGACGAGGCGATGGTCGGTCCACCCGTCAGCACCCGCGATCGCCTTCGTCACCAGCACGTCCCGCTGATCTCGCCTCCGGACGGGGACATAGTCCGGCAGGTGGCACTGACGCGACCGAGGATGCCTCCAGGTGGCCTTCTCTCGCTCCGGCAGACAGAAGAACGTGTTCGTCAGGATGAGGCGGTGTTCTGCGCAGGTGCGGAGAAGCAGCAGACCATTGTCGTTTGAGCCGCGGAGACCGTGGGGACCCAGCACTCCTCTCCAGGCAGTATGGTCTGTGCCGACGCGGGCGTTGAAGTCACCAAGGACAATCAACTTGTCCGCCTTCGACACAGTCGCCAAGAGGCTGTGCAGGTCCTCGTAGAATTTGTTCCTGACGGCGTCGGGGTTGGTCATCGTCGGAGCGTAGGCGCTGATGATGGTGGCGAATTGGCCCCCCCGCCGGAGAGGCAGGCGGAGGCTCATCAGGCGATCGTTGATGCCCTGCGGCAAACAGGGCAGTCGTCCCACGATGT